CCAAAAGACGCCAGACCGCAGAAACTCACCTGGCGAATGGTGGCTCGAACTTGACACGACTCAACCGTGCCCAGAAGAACTTGGGAGCACCGCCAGGTGAAGACGCCAGAGCCGGACCCGCAGGAGAACAGGGAGAGGCGAAGGAGGCGGTCCACACCCATGACACAGAAAACCGCGGTGTCCTCCCCACAACTGGGAACCAGGACACCCCTGGCGCAAAGGGGCACATACCGCAGCCAGGGAGAAGAACGAGAGGCGAAGCACTGTAGCAAAAAAGGGCGCAAAACCCCAGCACTGAACCATCGCCCAGACCAAAACAAACTCCACGGCGCATGCGCATAACACGCTGGCCGAACCGCACACCCTCCCTGCGGGAAGGCGCCAGCCAGGACTATTGCACGAGAAAAAGAGCCAAAAGAGGAAGCAGGAACAAGAAAACCGGCCAAAGAAGCAAAGAGCCCAAAAAAAAAAGGGAACCCAAACGGGCGACAAGTAGCCCAACAGGGCGACAAGTAGCCCAACAGGGCGACAAGTAGCCCAACAGGGCGACAAGTAGCCCAACAGGGCGACAAGTAACCCAACAGGGCGACAAGTAGCCCAACAGGGCGACAAGTACTAGGAGCCGACAGACGTTCCAATAATGCGGGAAGTAGCGAAAAACCTTCCCGTACCCTCGAGAACACAGAAGCCAACACTAGTCCCGAAGGCACACGAAGGCGCAGGCGCACCCGAGATCAAAAGTCACGCAGAACCCCATCGAACGGGGAAACACGACAAAAACACCGTCCCAAAAAGCGGGGGGAGGAAACACCCACCCACAGGACGGAACCAACCGACTCAAAGGCCAAGGAACCGAGCCCGGGGAGGGGCCGACGTCCAACAGCACGTACGGCGAGTGGGGAGGAAAAACCCCACTCCGCGTAACCACAAGCCCCGCCTAGAGGGGGATAAAACCCCCCACGGGGTCTAACGGGGCCAAGGCCCCCCAAGTCAGCCCCTCCCCAGCCCCGGGAACCTACACGACAGGCCCCGGGGCCGAGCCGTTCCCCCAAAGCCCCGGCCGTACCAGAAAACCGGGGCAGCCGTGAAAACACTAAGGAAGGGAGCCCACTGGCAGACTCATACAACACGGCTGGAGGAACAGGCCCAAATGCCCCCGTCACTACCCCGGAAGGGGAATTCCCCGAGACTGCCCGAGTCTCAACACCACCAAACACCCCGCCCTGAACCTACAGACGGTAAGGAACCGGATGCAGGCAGGAAGGGTGAACCAGGGGAAAAACGAAATACAACGGGGCAGCCCCGGGGCTCCCGGGGAGGAAACCACGAGAACGTTGCCACCACCAAGGCTCAAGTGCAACGCCCCTGCTGCCCGCACCCGCTTTGTTAGCACAACTGGGTAACCGAGCCACAACGAGCAACCAAACTCGCAGGACACCGGGTCGAAGGTGTCACCGACCCCACAGGCAGCAGACGGAGGCAAAACAGAGAGTCACCCAGAGACAAAAGGTGAGAGCAACCCTCAAACTCGCTGGAAGCGAGGGGGGGGCTCTGGGGTCACATCCATCGGACCCGCGCGCCCCCAGGGGTTTCCCAGGGTCCCGAGCGTTTACTTTAAGAGGACTCGCGCTCAGGTAATCCCAGGCAGGGTACTGCTAACCGGCACCCAAGCTACCAAACAACTTTCTAAGAGCTGAACCCCCGGGACGTGTACACTCACGGGGACCTAGCAGGGGGTACCACCAGAAATACTCAGAACACAAGGGACACAAGGGGCAAGAACGAAGGCAGACCCCCCCACCAGGTATATAAACAAAAGAAAAAGAAAACCCCGCAAGAGGACAGCGTACCCAAGCGGAACAGAGCCGGCCGCTATGATTGGTAAAGACAAGCTGCACAGTACCCCGCGCCCCACCAGTGCAAACACTGCCCCTTACTCTAAGGCGAACAAGGGAGACAGAACACCCGAGCACACAAAGAGCGGCCGAAAACCAAGCGGTAAACGGCCAAGCAGGGGCAGGACCCAAGGAACTTGTGGAAGGTGGCCCCAAGCCCCAAGGGCAGTACTTACAGGGCACCTAGGGAAGGGAACCCTAGGCGCATGCAGCCCGAGTACTGAAGAATCACACCCGGCTCACGCACCACCTAGAAAACAGACACCACACTCTAGGTACAGTGCTGAAACAACCACTGGAGCCGGAGCACATAACCATTGCCTATAGCATCAGCCGAAGAACTGATGGGTGGATAGCCGGCGTGGGAGGTCTGGGGCTCCCCCTTCCCCCTCCCGGGGAGGGGGGAGCTGCGCAGACAGCGGCGCGGTGACGTATGACGTCATACTAGTTTCCGTGTTTTCTGTTGAAGAGTTCTATTCACTAGTTCGGCTTAGGTAGCAATTTTCACCAGAATAGGGGTTTGTTTTGGAATGCTTACCTTTCTGGATGCTTGACCCGGTCGATGGCAGACATAGAATGCTTCCAACCACACGGGGGTTTCTATAGGCCATTGCTCCCCTTGCCTCTCTGAGGGGGCCAGGTTCTGGCTCGTGGTCCCCGGTAGGCCCTAGAACTCCATACACATGACTGATGCCAAAGTCTGACATTAGCATATCAGCCGGTAAAGCTCCGGGGAGCCGACGGGGCTCCCCCCAGAAATGCCCATGAACTGTGGACCAAGCGTGAGCCAACAGAGTAAGCCCCCCCCCCCCCACAGCACCCTGTCAACAGCAAACGGATTGTAACCCCTTCTGAAAGTATTTTATATATATATATATATATATATTATATTATATATATATATATATATATATATATATATATATATATATATATATATATATATATATATATATATATATATATATATATATATATATATATATATATGTCGTACCTAGCAGCCAGAACGCACTTCTCAGCCTACTATGCATGGCCCGATTTGCCTAATAAGCCAAGTTTTCCTGAATTATTATATTTTCTCTAACTTTTTTCTTATGAAATGATGTAGCTACCCATTTCATTATGTATGAGGTAAAAAATTTTTTATTGTAGTTAAGATTAACGTAGATATATGACCGAACCTAACCAACCCTACCTAACCTAACCTAACCTATCTTTATAGGTTAGGTTCGGTTAGGTAGCCGAAAAAGTTAGGTTAGGTTAGGTAGGTTAGGTAGTCGAAAAAACATTAATTCATGAAAACTTGGCTTATTAAGCAAATCGGGCCTTGCATAGTAGGCTGAGAAGTGCGTTCTGGCTACTAGGTACGACATATATATATATATATATATATATATATATATGTCGTACCTAGTAGCCAGAACGCACTTCTCAGCCTACTATGCAAGGCCCGATTTGCTTAATAAGCCAAGTTTTCATGAATTAATGTTTTTTCGACTACCTAACCTACCTAACCTAACCTAACTTTTTCGGCTACCTAACCGAACCTAACCTATAAAGATAGGTTAGGTTAGGTTAGGTAGGGTTGGTTAGGTTCGGTCATATATCTACGTTAATCTTAACTACAATAAAAAATTTTTTACCTCATACATAATGAAATGGGTAGCTACATCATTTCATAAGAAAAAAGTTAGAGAAAATATAATAATTCAGGAAAACTTGGCTTATTAGGCAAATCGGGCCATGCATAGTAGGCTGAGAAGTGCGTTCTGGCTGCTAGGTACGACATATATATATATATATATATATATATATATATATATATATATATATATATATATATATATATATATATATATATATATATATATATATATATATATATATATATATATATATATATATATATATATATATATATATATATATATATATATATATATATATATATATATATATATATATATATATATATATATATATATATATATATATATATATATATATATATATATATATATATATATATATATATATATATATATATATATATATATATATATATATATGTCGTACCTAGTAGCCAGAACGCACTTCTCAGCCTATTATGCAAGGCCCAATTTGCCTAATAAGCCAAGTTTTCATGAATTAATGTTTTTTCGACTACCTAACCTACCTAACCTAACCTAACTTTTTCAGCTACCTAACCTAACCTAACCTATAAAGATAGGTTAGGTTAGGTTAGGTAGGGTGGTTAGGTTCGGTCATATATCTAAGTTAATTTTTACTCCAATAAAAAAAATTGACCTCATACATAATGAAATGGGTAGCTTTATCATTTCATAAGAAAAAAATTAGAGAAAATATATTAAATTAGGAAAACTTGGCTTATTGGGCAAATCGGGCCTTGCATAGTAGGCTGAGAAGTGCGTTCTGGCTACTAGGTACGACATATATATATATATGTATATATATGTATATGTATATATATATATATATATATATATATATATATATATATATATATATATATATATATATATATATATATATATATATATATATATATATATATATACACACATATATACATATATACATATATACACATATACACAACGTTTTTATATTTTATATTTTATTTTTTATATTTTAATAAAATTTATATTTCGTTTTTATATTTTAATTTTTTCCATAGCGCATGAGCTGGAACTTATCTTCGTTAAACACCATATTATTTTCTGTAGCCCATAGAAAGACCTGATCTACATCTGACTGGAGGTTTGCCGTGTCCTCTATGTTGCCTACTCTCATGAAGATCCTAATGTCATCTGCAAAGGATGATACAGTGCTATAGGTTGTGTTCTTGTCTATGTCTGATATGAGGATGAGAAAAAGTACTGGAGCAAGCACAGTACCCTGGGGGACTGAGCTCTTCACGGTTGATGGGCTGGATTTTATTTTGTTGACTATTACACATTGGGTTCTGTTGGTCAGGAAATTGTAGATCCATCTGCCTATTTTTCCGGTAATTCCTTTTGAACACAATACTGAGAATAACATGCACAAAAACAATGACCCCAAAAGGTGAGGAAAGCTGACCTGTGACTGCCTCCAACTGAAGCTCCCCGTACATCTGCCAGTAGGGGGTAAGCAACACATCCTCCATAATGGTGCCTATGGCAGATGAGTTTAGGTGAAGTGCACTTCGTGTCAGATGCAGCAATGACTGAGAGGCAATACCATAGCCCAGGATGAAGATCAGCAGCAGAGCCATGAACACCAGCACCTCAGAAATCTGCACAGAGAACAGGCTTAATGGGTTATAGGGGTAGAGGGCTGTTTCTTCAGACACAAGTCACACTGAACACAAGACTGTTCGCCAACAAATGTTAAACCTACTCTTACCCAGCCTAACCTAACCTATCCTAAATCAACCTAACCTATCCCAATTCACCCTAGCCTAACCCTATTGAGCCTAACACAACCTGGCCTAACTACAAATACAGTTTTGACAATTAGAAAATGAGCTTTGTTGAAATGCATATGTATTTGACCATACACCATTTCATTATCCTACAAATATGTTTGTAGACAGAATGGTGCCAGCTTCTGAGCTGACGTTGCCTTCAGAGCTGGCGTCGTCTGGTCGGTGTGATGATCGCTCTGTTCGGCGGTCAGCTTCTCGAAAGGAGCGTCGGCCCTTTTGCGGTTCACCCCGTTGACAGGGTAATGGGCGGGAGGCTCGCTCTGTTTGCTCGTGCTTGGTCCCACGATTCGTGGGCATTTTTGGTTGTGAATTCCCCTTCAATAATGTGCTCTTCTCCCCCACATTTCAATGATGCCAATGGTGTCAAGATTCTTGGCCTCACCGTCTGCACACAATGCATCAGATTTATTCATCAAGCAATTGTGTAGAAGCAATTTAAATTTCTTATGCTGTTACTATTGGCTTGAGAGAGCTCCTGGATTCTGTACATTACTATTTAATTCATTCATTCAGGCACAAGACCAGTCACTCTGGTCTTGTGCCTGTTTGTCTTCCGAGTTATATATGGTTAGTTCGGTCTACCTGGGTGAAGGATTAATGATCTCTCCTCCATCTACTATCTTAATCACCTGTCTTCTCCTCGTCTTGAGCTTTGAATCTTTGTATGTCTTTCTTAACTCATTTTGCTTGCCTCTGTTATTTTTGTTGTTCTACTGTGAGGGCTGGGGAGATATAGACTTGGTTATACCCTTCAAGATCTTTTAGTTTGTACCTACTCTTGAGTATCCTCCTCCTGTGTTTAAAAATACAACCTGGGAGTCTGCTGAATCCACAGGATTAAGTTATATATGTCATGGTACAGGGTAAAAGTGCACAGCTGGGAGTAACCTGATTGCTAGTTCAAGTGACCTCAGTGCTCCAATTGATTTTCTAATTTTATATATACAGTATTCAGTACCATAAGAGTAATTTCTTTGCATTTCTGAAGCTTGAGTGTACAATTGGTAAACTGCTATACATACACCAGAGTGCATGGGGGTTATATGCAAAACTTGAACTGGCTTCAGTAGAAGCCTCCAGACTTCCAGTGAATTCATTGGAATCCCAGGTTGTATAATTTATACCATGTCATGGAACAGGGGGTAAGGTTCGCAGGTGGGATTATTTTAATCGGCGGGTTCGAGTCACCTAAGTGCTCCAATTGATTTCTCATTAATATATACTGTATATCACATTAGTGTAATTTCTTTGTAATTACCATAGTGCAATTACTTAAGTGTAGTTACAGAATGAGAGTTACGCTCATGGTGTCCCATCTTCCCAGCATATAACATTTTTAAACTACTGTACTGACGTTTTTGGCCTCTACCCCTTTCTTAACTTGATCCAACCGTCTACCACTCTGTTTGCGAACAAAAACTTTTTAATATTTTTTCTGCATCTTTGTTTCCTTAGCTGGAATCTGTGACCTATTCTTCTTGAAGTTGTTGGTTTCAGGAATTCCTCTGTCAATTTGGTTGATTCCTGTTATTATTTTGTAAGTGGTGATCATGTCTTTTATGTGGTGTTCTGATGACAGTCTACTATCCAGAACCACCTCTAGATCTCTTTCTTAGAGTTCTTTAACTCTTTTCCACATAATTTGTAGATTATGTGGAGGTCTATTTTCTCGTATTACACATTCCATATAAATCACTGTTATTCCTTTGTATATTCTTTAAATAATTATTATTGTTGTTATTGCTATTTTTGTTCCCTCATGCTGCATCTATTTTTTATTATCACATACTATACAGTATCACCTTTCATTCCATACCACATTCAATCTATTCTCTACTTCTCATTCTCTCATTCATTCTTCTCCCAACTCCCTCCTCTTTGAGTGCCTCCACCTTCCCTCACTTCTCCTTGCTCTCTACTCACCATCCTGTAGAAGATGACTAGCTTGGGGCCCAAGTGGTAGCTGACATGATAGATCCTGAAGAGTCTGCAGTAGAAGACGGTAGTATTAATGGCGTAAGCGATGCGGCCCCACTTAAAGGTCTCCCGGAAGAGCCGCAGGACAAGTGCCAGAGTGCCCAGCAGCATTGACACCATGTCAAACCTGTTCCACACACTGCCCATCCAGTCTGAGATCTTGCCTCGCACAGTCAGCGACTGTTCCGATGCAATCTGCAGTACACAACATAATTTGCTGAAGTAATTGCTAAGAGGATCTTTGGAAGTGAATAACAAGTAAACCTGCTTAAATGACTGCTCTGATATTGTAAATGGTGCACACTGTAAGGTAAACCTTCAGATGCACAAATACGGTACATAATTAATAATATTTCATAATTCATAATTATGTACCTACTGAGTAACTAATGAAAAATGTTGGTATGTATGTATGCTTTAAGAATAATAATTATTATTACAGTGCTCCCTTCATTCGGCAAACTATTTGGGACCAACTCTGATTCGTTAGCACGAGGGATTCGTTGCCACAGGCGATGCCTTCAGGAGGCATTTATGTAATTCATTTTTTGTAATATATAACAAGTTGTTGTTGTTGTTTTAGATTTCGCTACTCGGAACGAAATGTCCATGTAGCTCCTAACACCCATGTCATCCCTCCCTTAAAGCCTTCATCTCTCTCTCATTGCCTCTATCACTACCTCACTTCATATGTCCCCCTCACTGCCTCCATCCTCTACTTCTGTCTTCACCTCACTGCTGTATAGTTGAATAGTAGTATATAACAATGAATTTTTCTTGTTATTCGGAACCATATAACAAGAATAATTCATTGTTATATACTACTATTCAACTATACAGCAGTGAGGTGAAGATAGAAGCAGGGATGGAGGCAGTGAGGGGGACATATGAAGTGAAGGAGTGATAGAGGCAATGAGAGAGGGATGACATGGGTGTCTGGAGTAGGTGTGGGTGTGGGGTGTCTGCAGTGGGTGTGGGGTGTCTGCAGTGGGTGTGGGGTGTCTGCAGTGGGTGTGGGGTGTCTGCAGTGGGTGTGGGGTGGGTGTGGGGTGTCTGCAGTGGGTGTGGGGTGTCTGCAGTGGGTGTGGGGTGTCTGCAGTGGGTGTGGGGTGTCTGCAGTGGGTGTGGGGTGTCTGCAGTGGGTGTGGGGAAATCTACAGGTGATTGTTTGATTAATATTTCAAGAGGTGATTGTTTGATTAATATTTCAAGGATTGTTATTAATTGTACTTAGTACTTGCGAGTGAACGGTATTTTATAGTTTATTATCGCCAGTAACCTTCCCTTCGCACATTTTGGGGGTTTCATATTTTAATCTTATCGTAATTAAATGGTAGATTTAATTACTAATGGGCTAAGTTACACTACTATGAGTTAGTTAAATTGGCAAATGTCTCAGCTGCTGTGTAGTGTGAGTTAATCCTCCAACATTGGACTCGGTCTGCCACATGTGGTCCGTCCTGGACGTGTATTAAATTAATGGCAGCCATGGGTCGTGGAACGGTACAGCTAGGCTGTAGGCTTACGATGAGAGGCTAGAGGTGTTAAATATGCCAAAACTAGAAAAAGAGGCGATATGATCACCAGTTACAAAATAACAATAAATGAAAGAAATTGACAAAGAAGAATTCCTAAAACCAGCAACTTCAAGAACAAGAACAACAATATATAAAAACAAAGCAACAAAGACATTAGAGGAAGTGGGAATAAAAGACAAAGGGTAAGGGAACGTGTTCCTGAAAATTTTATATACCAAAACAGATGGAGTGAGATAAAATATACTGGAGCGAAAAGATATAATTCAGGTTAAGGTCCCAGATATTGTCGCACTAACATAACGAAACTTGAATAAAACATTTTAAATGAGGTCATATTCCCAAGGGGCTACTCAGTTTGGAGACGTGACAAGAAATCTAGGAAGGGGGAGGAGTGACTGTGCTGGTGAAAGAACACCTGAATGTACGAGATTAATAATTGAAAACCTTCGAGAAGTTGACATAATGACATTGCAGGTCTGGAATCGGGATGATAAACTGCCTACAGCCCACCAGCAAGCAACACATGGACAAAGGAGGAACTGGATGACAAACAAGAGGGTCTCATAATGGTCATGAGAGAAATTGTAGTAAAAGCAGATAAAGATAAATCACGACTGTTGGTACTGGTGTACTTCAACTTGAAAGCAATAGACTGGGTACCTGTGTCCCAGGGATGCAGAGTCTGCATTCCTGTGTACAGGAGTCCTAACAGATGTGTGGAAAAAGGCTAACATAGTTCCAAACTACAAAAGTGGCAGCATAGAAACCCTCTCAGTTATAAACCTGTATTACCATGAAATAAAAGGTATTATACTGTATTAGAATGGATAGTATATTAAAAACAATGGTTATAAACATGTTTATACTGGTAATTTTTATGACTGCCACAGACATACTACTGGAAAGAGATGGTTGGGTTGACTGTCTATCTGGACCTAAAATGCTTTTGACAGAGTCCATCACAAGAGGCTGTTCTGAAAATGGGAACATGCTGGAGGGGTGACAGGGAGACTTCTGACATGGCTGAAAATTTTTCTGACAGACAGATAAGAGCAGTAATCAGAGAATGTATCTGACTGGAGGAGTGTTACTAGCAGAATACCACAGGGTTCAGTTCTTGCACTGGTAATATTCATCGTCGACATAAACAATCTAACAGAAGGAATACAGAATTATATGAACATGTCTGCTGATGATAGCACTATACACCAGCACTATACACTATAGCACTATGACTGATAACACTAACATCACACATCATAAAAATTTTGAGAGATTGCTAAGAAGTAAGATCACAAAATACATGTAATCACAGTATGTCCATAACATCAGACATGGTTTCAGAACTGGGCGCTCTTGCCTGTCACAGTTGCTGGACCACTATGATATGGCATTAGATGCCATGGAAGACAGACAAAATGCTGATGAAATTTACACAGATTTTTCAAAAGCCTTTGACAAATGTGACCATGGTGTTATTGCACATAAAATGCGTTCAAAAGGAATTACCAGAAAAATAGGCAGATGGATCTACAATTTCCTGACTAACAGAACCCAATGTGTAATAGTCAACAAAATAAAATCCAGCCCATCAACTGTGAAGAGCTCAGTCTCCCAGGGTACTGTGCTTGCTCCAGTACTTTTTCTCATCCTCATATCAGACACAGACAAGGACACAACCTATAGCACTGTATCATCCTTTGCAGATGACACTAGGATCTTCATGAGAGTAGGCAACATAGAGGACACGGCAAACCTCCAATCAGATGTAGATCAGGTCTTTCTATGGGCTACAGAAAATAATACGGTGTTTAACGAAGGTAAGTTCCAGCTCATGTGCTACGGAAAAAAAATGAAAATATAAAAACAGAAACCACGTACAAAACTCAGGCAAATCATAACAGAATGAAAAGGCAATGTAAAGGATCTGGGTGTACTCATGTCGGACGACCTTACCTTTAAAGAAGACAATAAACTAGCCGTCACAACTGCAAGAAAAATGACAGGTTGGATAACAAGAACTTTTCACACTAGAGATGCTGTACCGATGAGGATACTTTTCAAAACGCTAGTGCTCTCTACAGTGGAGTACTGCTGCAAAATGACAGCCCCTTTCAAAGCTGGAGAAATTGCTGACCTGGAGAGCGTGCAGAGATCCTTTACTGCTAGAATCCACTCAGTAAAACATCTAAACTACTGGGACCGACTAAAGAGTCTAAATCTGTATTCCCTTGAGTGCAGGCGGGAGAGATATATAATAATCTATACGTGGAAAATAACAGAGGGGCTGGTCCCATACCTGCACACAGAAATAACATCACATGAGATCAGAAGGCATGGCAAGATGTGCAGAATACCTCCGTTGAAAAGCAGAGATGCAGCGGGTACTCTGAGAGAAAACTCTTTCAACATCAGAGGCCAGAGATTGTTCAACACGCTTCTACTACACATAAGGGGTATAACTGGCCAACCCCTCACAGTGTTCAAGAGAGAACTTGACAAACACCTCAAAAGGATACCTGATCAACCAGGCTGTGACTCATACATCAGGGTGCGAGCAGCCACATCCAACAGTCTGGTTGATCAGTCCTGCAACCAGGAGGCCTGGTTGACGACCGGGCCGTGGGGACGCTGAGCCCCGGAAGCACCTCAAGGTAACCTCAAGGTAAGGTATGATGCTAAGATATTGGGGAAGCTAGGAGATGCAGACAATTGTAATGCCTTTATATTGATCTAGATAAAATAAGTGCTTGGAGCACCAAGTGGCAAATGGAATTCAATGTGAATAAACGCCATGTTATGGAATGTGGAATCAGAGAAAACAACACACAACTTACAAATTATATTGAAAGGAATTACAGAACTCTAATAAAGAACAAGACATGGGGGTGGTTTTTGAATAGTGAGCTGTTGCCAGAGGAACACAAAGAACATTGTGAGAGGAGTTTATGTGTCGGTTTCCAACTTCAGACTTGCTTTTAATTATATGGATGGTGAAATACTAAAGAAATTGTTCATGACTTTTCTGAGATCAAAATTGGAATATGCAGCAGTTGTATGGCGCCCAAATCTCAAGAAGCACATAAATAAACTGGAAAAGGTGCAATGGCATGCTACAAAATGACTTCCGGAACTGAAAAACATGAGTTATGAAGAGACACCAGAGGTGTTAAACATGCCAAAACTAGAAGATAAAACAAAATGAGGTGATATGATCACCACTTACAAAATACTAACAGGAATCGACCAAATTGACAAAGAGGAATTCCTGAAACCAGCAACTTCAAGACCAAGAGGACACAGATTCGGGCTAAGGAAACAAAGGTGCTGAAAAATATTAGAAAGTTTTCTTTTGCAAACAGAGTGGTAGATGATTGGAGGAAGGTAAATGAGGTGGTGGTGGAGGCCATAACCATCAGGAGTTTCAAAGCGTTAAACGACAGAGTACTGAACTGGGAAGACGGGACACCACGAGCATAGCTCTCATCCTGTAACTACAATGAGGTAATTACCCACAACCCACTTACCAGAATTTTGCATAGTACTGCACAATGATTTGACTCAGAACCATTCCCCTTGTGACCCACATATCTCACACTACCTTTGCATGTTCCTTCAACACATATATGTACAGTGTATATCAGTCAAAATTGTTTGCACGTCATGCAAATTTTATAAACAGTTGCTAATACAAAGCTCACTGTGAACACACCTCTGAGATTTCATCAATGATATAAGTAAATATCCAGATGATGAGAAGCTTCTCCATAACTGTCATTTTATAGTTGAAGTCAAAGAGGACAACGTAGGCATATAGAAACAGGAAACACACGTAGGCTGAGGAGTGAGCACAGAATTTAGAAATTGGCGACTTATAGAAGACGACAAACTTTTGCATTGTGGTCAGCTCACCCCCGTTGTCACCCAACTTCTGGAAACTGTGAAGAAAATAAGCATCAGCTGCATCAAATAATTTTAAGACATCATTAAGCTTTATTAGGATATTTACATCACATTAATTAAAACAGTAAAGCCATCAAGAACTTTGCAATGATACATATAGTTCACTACAATATTCCAAAGTTTCCACATGTAAACAAGCATTCACAGCCAGCCAAGCTTTTCAGAATGATTGGCAAAAGTAAAGGGGAAGATCATATGCTTTGATTAAAGCTAATAACCAAAACCTTTATCCTAGGTGGCATAATGTTGTGTGTGTGATGTTAGCCGAGTTATTATTAGATTTGGAATATAATTATCAAGAGGAAATACAGTAGAATAGTGGTCAGTGCAGCTGGCTCACAACCGAAAGGTACCGAGTTCAATTCCTATGTAGGTCAGATTAAATATCTATAAGAATTATCTATGTCTGAATTATCTGGCATCTTTCCTTTCATCTGATACTTCAGTTTCCCTATCAGTGAATAAGTACCTGAGAGGTTAGGCAACTGTAATGCAATGATTCCATTGCATCTCTGGGAAGGTCAGTAGACGACCTAGGGTGACCTTACACCTGTTGCTTCTGTTTACCTAGCTGTAAATAGGCATCTGAGAGTTAGGCAAATGTTGTGGGTTGCTTTCTGGTGGGAGCTTCTTGATGCTCCATGAAGTTATTATCACTGATTCAGTGCCATACTACTAGGAGCTATCAGGTGCGAAGTACTATTGGCCTACCGGGGAAGATGAGCCAGAACCTGGCTCCCTCAGTGAGGAGCACGGAGCAATGGTCTATGAACATTTTACATTTAAAGTTGATCATAAAAGTCACCTCCACCAAAGCACCCCAGAAAGTTAGGCAAAACAAAACAAAAACTACTGCGTGGTTAAAACGAGACAGCAGCCTCAAAAAACGAAAACTGCCAAAAGAACTACCCCCAATGATGTCACAGCATCTTCTCCCATTTCTGACGATGTGCATCAAGAAAGTCATATTGCAATTATTTGTCTCTGGTCATGAAAAAGAATTCAGTTTATAATATGCTGTCTATGACCAGTGTGAGAAGAAGGTTTTGGCTATCTGCTACTCCTGTTCTTCATGTTGCATGCAGTTAGAGGAATGATTTTGTCTAATTATATTTGTAGTTTACTGTGTGTTTTAAATGGTTGGTTAATTCACCTATATTGAGATAACTTGGGGAATTAGCAATGTATATTTCATTGTATTTTCTAAAATCTAATAAATTGCTAAATCATGTTAGTATTCCAAAGTAGAGTGAAGAGTAATCCTGATAAAAGTACCACCAAAACTAAGAACATTGGCTGCATACCGGAAGAAGCGAGGCCAGAAGATGAGAAATGGGAAGAAGTTTGCAATGATGACAGCAAAGAAAGGCGCTCTGCTCATGCCACGCCGCCAGTTGAACTCTACGCTTGCTTGGGCACCAGGCGTCGAGATGAAGAACTTGTCATCAGCCATCACTGCCAGCTCCAGACAGTCCATGTTGCCCCACTTGGCATTCCTTCGCTCTACTAGGCCCATGGCATTGACAATATCTGCCTGGTAGCATATGGCCAGAAGCTGCAAGGAATATGGAGGAGGAATATGAAAATATCCTAATTTTTGTTAGGAGAGGTTGAGGGCCTCTGCCAGCCTCAATAAGGACAGGAAGCTGGCACTTGTCCACTAAAAGGTTAAAATGAAGCTGGATATATGCTCATAAGACTAGATTAAATATAATAATCAGAAAGTATAAAGACAAACAGTCAGAAATAGAAACAGTTAACACTTTCGCCCACTGATGACAAAGTATGGAGTCAAAATTTTTGTACCTTATTTCCACTCATGACGAAGTATAGCATCAAAAATACAAAAAATTTGGCCCGCTTTCGGCTTCGATGCGGGAGAGGAGTGCCGCAGTTTTGGACATTATATGCATATACTCCTGTAGGGAATTTCATTGCGAATACATTGATGTCAAAATGAAAAACCTAAGACGAGAACTGAAGTAACAAAGTTAAAAAGAGTAAACCCATTTTATTGCTCTTGATGAGCACTCATGAAGGTAACGCGCTGTCACTTTCTGTTTGCTGTGGGTGGTACGCCGGACTTTTGGACTTTATATATGCATATACTCCTGTAGGGAATTCTATTGCAAACACAATGATACAAAAATGAAAGACCAAAGTCAAAAGAGTGTTCACATTTCATTGCTCTTTAGCGCTCCCAGGTAACTTTCACTCACTTTCTCTGTTTTGTGCGGGTGGTACGCCGGGCTTTTGGACTTCATATGCATTTAATCGTGTACAGAATTCTATTGCGAACACATTGATATCAAATTGGAAAACCTAGGATGAGAATTGAGATGACAAAGTTGAAAAAGAGTATACACTTTGCAGTATTACCGCGCTCTCTAATGAACGGCCCGGCGCTCCTCCCTGCTTTCATCACGTCGGCGGGTGGAGCGCGCCACGGTTTTTGACATTATATGCCTATACTCCTGTTGGGGATTTTATTGCGAACACATTGATTTCAAAATGGAAGACCTAAGACGAAAATTGAGGTGACCAAAGTGAAAAGAGTGTACACATTTTATCGCTTTTGCGCGCTCCCGGGTAACTTTCTTTCACTTTCTCAGTTTGCTGCGGGTGGTAAGCCGGGCTTCTGGAGTGTATATGCTTTTAGTCCTATAGAGCATTCTATTGAGAACACATTGATATAAAATTGAAAAACTTAGGACAAGAATTAAGGCGACAAAGTTGAAAAGAGTATACACGTTTCAGTATTACCGTGTGTTCCCGCAGAACGCCCAAAACCACTTGGACAGGTCGAGCGATTGACGTTGGCCCACGAAAATGTTAATATGGCTTTAGGAAAGTCAAATGTTAGTTAACCCTTTAACTGCGCAAGGCGCCTGCAGGCCCAGGCTTCAGGTGCGTAACGCGCCTCCGGGTATTTGTATTTTTAACGTTCCATTCAAAACTCCTGTGGCTAAATGGGGTTCACATCAGCTTCCTCAGGGCTCTTGTAAACAGACGCCATCTTTAAAAAAAATCGTGGTCCACATTCCCAGGTGTGGGAGCCTCAGTAGTTTTGTGCACGTAACACACAAAAGACACTGTGCACGTAACACAGTGTCCTTGGACAGTACGGATGTTTTACTGCCATAATATAGTGTACGTGTTCATTATACATAGGATTAGCGCATAAAAACAAATAAAATGTATTTGGAACTGGGGTGCAAAAAATGAACAAAAATATATTCGCGGCAACTCGCTCGCCCCGCCCCGGGCGCCCCACTGGCCCCAGGAGCTTACTGCACTGGCGCTCAGGGAATGATGACGTCACACGCCACCTTATGGACCTCATAGCAGCCAAAGTAAGTACAATTTCGAAATTCCGTTGCTATACCCATATACTGTACAGGGATGGGTTTTTAACACTTTCTGAACTAAAAAGAATTTTTTCCCGAGAATTTATTTCTTGCACACTGGGGGGATATCATATTTATAGGTCGCACAGTTAAAGGGTTAAAAAGCCAGAGTTGAATGTAATGAAACGTCATTTTCTGGGCGAGTCCCGGAGGCTTCCCGGAGCTATCTAGGCTGAATGGATATGTATAACTTTCTGGCATCAGTCAAAGTGCTAGGAGTTCTTGCCTACCGGGGACCACGAGCCAGAACCTGGCCCCCTCAGAGAGGCACGAGGAGCATTGGGCTATAGAAACCCCCCCTCTGTAGTTGGGAGCATTTTATGTCTGCCACAACTGGGATAGGCACCCAGAAAGGTAAGCACCCCAAAACAAACCCCTATTCTGGTGAAAAATTGCTACCGAAAGCCGAACGAGTGGACAGAACTCGCAGAACAAAATTATCAAACTAGCATGATGTCATCACGTCGCTGCGCCACCGTCTGCGCAACCCCCCCTCCCCGGGAGGGGGAAGGGCGAGCCCCAGACCCCCCTAGCTGGCAATCCAACTGGCAGTTCTTAGGCTGGATGTCAAAATACGCGAAAAACACCGCCGACCGGAGGGAGGGATGCCGGGGAGCCTCCGGGACTCATCCAGAAAATGGCATTCCATTACATTCAACGCTGTCTTTCTGGGGGGAGCTCCATCGGCTCCCTGGAGCTACCTCACCACAGATAAGGAAAATAGGGAAGGATCCGGGAGGCAGATGCCACGCACCCTAATCTAAAAAGCCAATACCACGGAGGAAACAAAAACCTTGCAGACCCCAAACCCCCGAACAGGAATGAGGGAAGAAAAGGAACGCGAACTACCAAAATGCATCCACGTCCCCAGAGGCCAAGATGCACAGAGAACAGCGAAAAAACGCAACTGAACAACAAAGGAAGCACACCCCCCCTCCCCCGGCCCGACCAACCAAGCAGCAACCCAAGGACCAAAACGAGGAGAAGAAAAGAGACCTCCTGGGCCAATGACCAGGATGGATCCAGAACGCAAGAGCAGGTCGGAGGTGAAACAACACCTAGCAAGCGGAATGGAGCCGAAGGAACAGCAACACCGAACACAAGCTGAAGCGGCTCCGCCAGCACCAACCAATACGAGGCGACAGTACATGGTCTCAGACGATGGTCCCGGAACAACCCCGAAAGGAAGACAAGCCAACCCTATCAGAGACCAAAGGATCCTTTGCAGTGATAGGAAAACCGGAAGGACTGCAAGGAAAACCACACACCACCCCGAGACGAAACACGCAGAGGGGACGACCAACAACGAACCCACCAGTGCTGACACAAGCGATGAAAAACGAGAAACAAAAACCCCAGACACAAAAACTCGAGGGGAAGAACGAACGAGCCCTGTACAGAACAGACCCGATCCACAAAAAGAGGCGGAGCTGCGGGAAGACCCACAGGACCGGAACCGAGGAAAGCAGCAGGTCTTGCCAAGGCAGGCAAAAACCAGAAGTTAACGGCTGCCAGGGAAATCAGGAATCCAACCCCAGGGAGCCGAAAAGAACCAACCCGGGCAAGCAGAAATGCCCTGTCAGGGGAGGAACACCCCCCCCCCAGGACCCCTGAAGGACCAACAAGGCCAAACTCTGAGGAGCCAGGGCCCAGGCAGAGGCCAACAAATAAAAGGAGCACCACGAATGAAAGCACGAAATGAGAAGCAAAACAGCACCCCCACAACCCAAAGGAGCATTGCAACCAGCCCCAGCAGGGAAAACGAACGCATGCATCCCCAAGGTGTACAGGAGGGGAACTACGAAGGATGTAAACTGCAGGAAAACAAAAATACACGTTCCGGAAAAGGAACAAAGAAAAACCGGAGCCAGGACCGGAATCTCAGCTACGCGAAGGTTCCCAAGAAAAGGAACCAGTAAGGCAGGATTGGTGGACCTGAAGTCAACCACACGCCACAGACAGTGCAACACAGAAGCCTGCAGTGATATACAAAGAATTAATGAAGGAACTCGGCACCAAAACTGAACACTGGGGTAGTCCAAAAGCAGGGAACTGAACAAGGATAGAGGCCTACCCCAGCACTTAACATCAGTATAGCCAATAAACACTGACCCAGACGCACACAGCCATGTGTAGCACAGAAGGAAAAAATGGAAATAGGCAAGGAAAAACCACGAACACGGACCAAGTAGCAGCCGGGAACGCAATGTACATGACCAACCACAAAGTGTGGAGTGGGAGGTCGTACATACACACACGGACACCATGGATATCAGGGTGCAGCCAGGCACTGAAGATAGGCATGGAAGGAGTGTCCAGAGAACAGAGACCAAGCAAGAAAGGAGGACAAAAGCACGGACCGAGGGAATGATGGAGTGTCCAAATATAGGGAAAAGACCCAGGTGTCGAAAAACTAACAAAAAGAACCGAAATGTGGGGCAATGCCTCACAGTACAACGAAGAACAAGGTACTGTACACGGACAAAGTAAAGTCACAGAAAACACATGCAAGGTGTCCAAGCAAAACACACAACACCTAACAACCCTGGTCAAGCAGGGCAGTGACAGAGTAAACAAGGGAGGTACATGCATAAGGGTAAACAGGAGTTAGCCGAGTACCCAAACAAGCCACAGATATTAAAAAGAACCTGAGCAATATCAGAGGAGGTAGGAACGGAATGCACTAGGAAGCAATGTGGTGAAGGCAAACTCCACACACAGATGCAAATGTAAAGAAGATAAAGCCCAGTAGGCTCGGGAAACTACACACCCGTCGACCGACAGCTGAAAGGCGAGACCAAAGAGCCAGAGTCAACCCCCGCAAGCACAACTAGGCAAGTACCCCACCAAAAGTTGAGAACCAGCAATTGGTCGACAGAGCCGCCAGACAATACAATCTCACCTGCAGAGCGGAGACACGACCGTGTCATTCTATCCCAAGTTCTTTCCCAAGAGGCAGACAAGAGGAGCTCCAGCATATTTCAATAATCCTAAGTATTGTAGTGCAGGATGATGATAGTGAGTGGTGTCCCAGAGAACATAAAGGTATAGTGCTTTGGAAAAATAGGTGAGTTAACAGGAATGTGCCAAGGGAAGTGAAATAGTGGATGAGAAAAAGTTACCCCTAGATTTTCCAGTGCAGAGAACA